TGGGCCTGGCGAGCACAGCATTAACACTGGCCGAGTTGCTGGTGGGGGAACAGTAAACTTCAGCCCTAATCCTGTTTATTCAGGAGCCCATACCGCAGGCAGGAGGGAGCCTGTTCCTTTTCCCGGAGAGGGACCGCCTCCGAGATGGGCTGTTGATATGATACTCGGAGGACACCCTGGCCAAAAAGGCCCGCGGATCCTGCCTCGGGCATTCCTGAGGGGCAGCTCGGTTTCCATGGGGATTAGGCCCATGGAATACAGAGGTGAGGTAGCAGCAGGAGATCCAGCCGAAACAAACCCATTGCAGAGCCACGCTCAAAGGGCCTACTTTGTGACCTTGGCTGTCCATGAACTGCCTGACTGGAAAACAATTCCACAGTACACGCTATGCTGTTTCTTGGCAGTGTGGATGGTTAGTGGAGATGGTGACCTAAGCAGGGTGATATCAGCTTCTTTTTCTTCTGGATCAGAGATGCTGCAGTTGAAGCATGCCATTTCTCTTGTGTTCCATTATGTAGGAGAATCATAAGCAGCAATGTCAGCACACACTCCATTTTATTAAGTTAATCTTGTGCTGAAAGCCTCTTTAATCCGAATCACACAAGATACAGAGAAGTGTTCCCTTAAATAGAAAAATGATAATAACACTAATGCGTATAATGAAGACCGCAGTCAGGAGGGTGGAAGGAGGGGCTGGGTGGGTTGTGGCTGATTGTAATTAACTGGTTAAATGGGACACCAAAAGAGATGTCCACCATCAGCTCTAGGGAGGATGTCTTTATTCCGCCAGGCCCGGCCAGCGCTGAGTGTTGACTCATAAAGAAATACGTCCGAAAAAAGAAACTTCCGAAATCACTCTCCCCTCGGACTGAGCCGGAGGATTCCAGATGCTGTTGTGAGATGAAGCAAGACTGGAGCTGGGTCCAGACCTTCTTCTTCTTCCCAGCACATATAATTCTACTCAACTACATCCACATAGACACACAACAATAATCCAAAGTACGGCCTTTTCAAAAGCACCTCATGTTCATAGCATCGCTTATGTTCAAGGCGATCAATCCTACTGTTACCTCTTAAATCTGTTCAACATGCAAGTAGTTGACTTCCCTCTTAGAAATATCCCTCAGAAATATCTCTCCACTTCATATCTGACCTACATTCAAAGCCTACTTTACTGTGCAGCATGGCATTGTGGGTAGAGGGCAGGGGAGCAGGCTGGGGTCAGAGGGGAGCAGGGTTTATATCTGAGTTCTGTGCGGAGCTGCAGTCTGCTTTTCACGGAGAGAAGGGGAGGGGGGGTTGGTCTCTTATCTCTCTGATAGAGCCTGGACTCTACACTCCGCCCTAGCATGCTCTGGATGAAGAGGCCATAGAGGAAGCAGGCTTTGAAAGTCCTGTTGGTGCTGTACTACTTTCTCTCTCACACACACACACATAAAGATAAGATTCATGACAGTACAAAAACGCGCAGGGAGGACACGACTCTTCTGGCATGCGTGGCTGCAGACGGGCTGGAAATTCTGATGAAAGGAGTAGTATATTTGGACAAGACATATCATTAAGATAGGCGGAGGAAAAGTAGGGAGGATGCGTCGAAATTTTCCATCTGTTCTTCGGCCGCTATTATTGCGTTCTCACAAAAAAACAGCGATGAGGCCTGAGAAAACACTTCTCACCCAGTCCTGCTTGCCAAGAGGATTAAAAATACCCAAGCTTTCTCAGGCTGTAATAAAAAATCTTTTTGGTCGGTTTCGTTTTAACCAGATTTTAAATCATGCTGCTTTTGACAACTAGCGATAATTTGGCATTTGAAGGCCAGGACAAAAAAAGAAAAAAACTTCCTCTTGAACAAATGCAACCATACTCCAGGAATGCTTTGATATAATAGAATACGTCAGCGGCCATGAAATCGAATGTGTGTTGGGGGGTTGGGGGGGTGAATGGGCGGTGCTTTAAGGATGCAGTGAGTGGAGAGGGAAATCTAGAGGTGTGAGCAACAAGGAGGACCCATTTGGAACACAGGCATTAAAGCACCATGGGGAGCATGGGTAATCAGGGGCCTAATGAGCGCTGTTATTGAGCTGTGTAGTGCAATCCCTCCCCTCCCTTAAATCTCCCGGCCTGCCGAGCCTCATGACTCAAGATCCGTGGCTCTGTAGGTGTGGTTACCTTGGAGTCATTGTGCCAACAAAGGCGAGGTACTTGTGATGCCACATAGAATGTTTCCAAGGTACTTCTTTAGCCCTTATGAAGAAAAAGGAGAATACTCTCAATATGAGCTAGCCATGACAGTGCCAAACAATTTGGATACTGTTTGTGGATGGAGTTGATGCTTGGTCAGCTTAGGAAGCATTTTGTGAAGGCTGGGGTTTAGTCTTCTTATGGATATATTTTGTTCCATTGGGCTGTTTTACTGACATCATCAGACTGAATTCCATTGTTTTCCCTCCTTCTCTGTAAGAAAGCTAGAAATCCCACTCTCTCTTCCTTCAGTCAGTATCTTCTGAAGTCACCCATATGTTGTCTTATAATGCGGCTGCCCCAGTTTCTCCCACACATCTCGCTGGACCTCATTGTAACTGACTCATAAGATGTAGCCACGGAGTTGGTGGCAATAGGAAATGCACAAGCACAAACTAAACTCATCATAAAATTCACCTCACTAGAGGGTCCATGCTACCCTCTACAACTGTCAGTCGTGATGAGTTTCAGTCCAGTAATTATTAACTAGTGTGACACTGATAAAGGAGATCCAGAGATGAATCCAGAGAAGAAGAGTGCGGTCTCTCAGTCTGCGATCTGGGTTGTCCATGGTGATGGCGCCAGTCCAGCCCTGGAGCAGGAGCTTGTGTGGGCCAGCCGGCTGTAGAACAGGCTGCATTTGTGCTGTTGTTTAGCCTCTGGCGTGGCCTTCCCCGAGTTTGGTCACGAGGCCCCCCCACTCCCACCACTGTCCCCTGCCTGCAGTACGGTTCTGCCCCCACATACAACGGTGCTGACCCACCCACAAACCACAGCTCGGAGTCCTCTTTAACAGCACACAACTTTCCTCCCTCTCCAGACTCACTAAACAAAGTCTCAGCTTCAACCTGGACTCCAGATAAGATGTATTTACAACCTTTGCGGGACACCACTGTGTTATATTGGTATCAGAAAGTGGATGTCCTCCTGTTGGAACATTAGGGATCAGATGACTGGATGAATGCTGTTTTCTCACATACTTTACCCAGGCCACAGTTTAACACAGAGCTCAGTATTGTGATCTGATAGAATTAGCCAGGTCCCCGGATATAAACTCACTCAAAAAGTGGCTAGAGGCGACGCTGCAATTATAACTTTCTGCATGAAATTAGCCACAGTTTGTTCCAATTACCTACAATCAGATCACATGGAAATGACAGAGAGCAATAAGAAAACAGCTCCCTTTCTCTGGAATTCCCAGTAAACAATCGCCGAGCAGCATGGAGCGACATAAAAGACATTCCAATTTATTACACTCGCAAAGAAGACGACAAGTTGTGGCGCCAAAATGTTTCTATATGTCTTTTTCTTCATTAGAGGGCTTCTCATCAGCTAGTCCTCCAAGCTTATTTAATTTTACTTTTTTTGTTCTCCAGACCCTTCCACAGTGCATTCAGCATTTGTATCTTTGGAATCATGCTATTTTTGTGCTGTTGATCTTTTCGACAGCGTTTTATCTCTGCAAACTGTTATTTTAAAGCACTAGGGTTAGCATTTTTCTGCACGGTGGTGTGTTGTGGTCTTTGTGGAGCTTGTTGTCTCCATGTTTGAGTTGATGACTCCACATCTTTTAGCCGGTTCTAAGCTCTCAGTGTGGGTTAATCCGTGGCAGGCTCGGGCCCTGGTAATGGTTTTAGAAGAACTGGATCTGCCAGCACAGCATGGGGCTGCCCACTGACCCGCTCAGGGGCTAGAGGTCTCTGAGCCCACCGCTCTTATTATGTCAATGGAGCAGAATGGGGGGAAAAGCAGCGGGGCACATGAATGCAGAGGGGGTCATTGCTGTGCCCTGCTTTCTATAGGTCAGTGGTTCCCAAATCCTGGTCCTGCAGATCCCCTGCCCTGCACATTTTAGTGTTTTTCTGCTCTAAAAGAAGCATTTCAGCTCAGGAAGTGCTTGTTAATTAGCTGATCAGTTGAACCAGGTATATTAGAGAGGGGATACGCCAGTGTGAGCAGGACCAGGGTTGGAATACAACTGCTGTAAGTGATGGGGCACAGAGCTTCACTCTCTGTCTAGAATACTCTGTCCTCTGCTCCTGCCATTTTACAAGGCTGGGCCCTCGGCATAGGCCAGCTTGCGTTATTCATGACCCACACGTTGTTTAGCCTTCCAGCCACAGGTTCCACACCAACTGCTGCCCTACTCTAATATAAATCAACTCAAAATCTTTTCCACTGCTTCACATGCATTTGAACTGGTGAATCAGTTAGAATCAAGTGTTCCCAGCACCACAACAGGTTTAGGCCAACCGTTGTCCACTTTGTTGTTATTAAAAGATCTCAACTTCCACATGAGGACAGTCTAGTACAGTGCACAGATAGACGGATGGAAACAAAGTGAGATTTTAGAACGTCTGGTCTGTATTCCGGGGCAAAGATGGCATTAGAAATCCCTCCTCCATCACGCATTCACGACAGCGCAGCTGGGGGGAGGCGGCTGGAATAAATTGGAGCGGGCTTGTACGGCACAGCACTCTAATTAATGTTTCTGTTTCTACACTTCACTTAACTTTATAATTGGCTTGCCTTTTTCGCTGCCATTAATTACACGATTTCATATTCCATTAATGACTCTAAGAAAGAGACACACCTCGCTTTTTCGCACTAATTAACAACTGCTTTGCCACTTTTGCCTCTCAAATGTGTGAGCGCTGCCTCCCTCCTGCATCTCAGCCCCTTGCCAGCAAACACATTCATCATTAATTGATTTATTTACGATATTTCTCTGTTTTTGTGTCTCTCTTTTTTTTCTGCAGCACCCCTACCCATCAGAAGAACAGAAAAAACAACTGGCACAAGACACCGGTCTTACCATACTACAAGTGAACAACTGGTAAGTCAATTGTACCTTTTGTGTTTACATACAATCAATAGCCTTGCCTGTGGCAAGCAGCTTCTAATGATTCGAATGAATACACTACCCACCCCTCCTCCCCCATCGCCTGACCTCCCTTCCCTTTTCTCTCCCACTTACCGCCTCATCTGCCTCCAAATCAATCCACCCAAAGCGCCGCTAGGATTTTTCCAGCCACGGTACGAATCTAATAGGAATTCCCATGAGAGAAGCGACTCTCACGCGTCTCTTTAAACCCTCTTCCTCAAACGACCGAAAATGCATACTTTTACTCTGCTACGCCACAACAGTACACCAGAAACGTCAATGTCCAAAACACTAATATTCATCAAATAGAAGACTAATCCATTACTATTGCCACATGTAGCATGTACCACTTTATTTCAGGCACAGTTACACTGTTAGAAATAAAGGTTCTGTGCAGGTACATTTTTGTTTATCAAGGTAAAAACAATGTAAATGTTCCTTCAGAAGTACAACAGTGGTTTAAGGTCCAACTATGTACATTAAATAATTATTTCCAGGTGAAAAGTACATAAATCTACCTTTCATGACATAATATTTTAATACAGAACAATAAAGTAAAAAGCCTGGAGACGAGATGGGGTGTGTGGAGTCAATACAACTTAGAAAATATCATTTCAGTGGATTATAGTACAGTTATGTTCCCTGACTAAAAGTACTGAGATGTATTCTTATGGTACCACCCCAGTGACAAGAGGGGCACAGTGACAGTTTACTACCTTTTTTTCTGAGAGTGTACAGCCTTCTTTTCTTCTCTTGTGATATCACATGACAGACGGAGCTCTTTGTGTTTTGCTAACTAGCTCCTTTGATTCCCCCAGTTCCCACTGCTGAAGCACCATAAAGTTTGGGGTGAGCTTTTGCCCTCAGTTTGTATGTTAGCAGAGACTGCTATCAGCACGTACTTACCATTATTAGGCGTGTCTAATGAATGGCCTGAGAGAGAGACACGGGTAGGCCGCTGAAACCGAGTCCAGGCAGCGCTTTTGATGTGAGCCTTGTAAAAACCTATGCCACACATTTATTTTCCACAAGGTTGCCAGGGACCAACATGAAAGTCCCCACCTCGGCCTGTGCGAATGCTTTCGGTCCTTATTTTATAAGTGTCAGAGATTAATATTGCCAAGCTTCTGATTACATGCCCTAATTCGTTTTGCTGAATAAATTGGGCCTTGATGTAGGCTGCGCCTACATGTAACAAACCCTCTCTAGCTGTGGACAACAGAGCTCAGAGCGGAGTGAGGGAAGATGTATTAACAGCCATTACACCAAATGTAATTTCTGACAACATAATCCCTGCCATTGTTCAATTTGGTACCTTGGAGACAATGGGCTGTTCACAATATATTTGCCTTTGGAGGATTAATTTACACAAGTGCTCTATCGGCAGGGCGCAGCCTGAACGACACAAGGGAGTATTGTTGGGGTTATCAATTTCTGTGACCTCACAGCAACCCATGGGAGATCAATTCTTTCGGCCGCATTAGGCACTGGAGAGCAGGCAGGACGCACGGGCGGTCACATGACCACACGCCCTGTTTTAACCCTGTCGCTTTGGTCGCCGTGCCGGGTGGCTTTGGCTGACGGTGGAACAATAGAAGCTCAAACAGAGTGTGTGTGCTTTTGCGCGCGTGTATGTGTGAACGATGAGTCGGGGGTGGTTAATCTAAGAGGTATTAGCTGCTAAACCCTGCATGCTGAGATCTTTCTGCCCCCTCACATATTGTGTTCCGCTGTGTGCATGTGTGTGTGTGTCTGAATGTGAGCGTCCAAGGCAACAGAGGGAACGTGGACAGTGTCCGAGAAGGAGGTAGACACAGAGAGAGAGAGAGAGAGAGGAGGGAGAGGGAGGCATATCATGGGTTAGCAAGAGGGATCTGTTGCTTCATAGGCCTGCTGTGCACCGTTGGACGTTCACCATTGGGTGTCTCCATGGCAACCCCTGGTGATGTTACCTCCTGACCCACTGATTTTAAGAGGCAATATCCTGAGCTGTGATTCTATTTATCAGGCAAGTCAAAACACAGGGCCAACACGGCTTGGAGCAGCGGAAAACAGAGTGATGAAATTCATCAAATAGAGCGAGCAACGGCAGCCTCTCCAGATAAAACCAATGATACCTCTCCTGCACAAACATGCACATTTTATTGACTCATCTCTCAGCCTGCATCATTTGAAAACTGCAACATAATACATATCAGTCCTTATCAACAGACTGCGCTTCACCATCAACACTTTCATTATTGTTCTCTAGATTCTAGTCCGATTCAAGTGAATAGTGACCATGTGGGGGTAAAGAAGAGATCATCTGGGGGGGATGATGGCCATTCTTAAAAACCCTGCTCCTGCAGACTTGTTAACACGCATGTAGGCCTTCATTATTGATGAGGGCCCCACAAATCGTCGGGCTGGAGATTAAATAAAAATGCTAAAGGGCACGCGGGGCGCAGATCGCTCATGAATTATTGGCACAAAACATAGCGTGAGGGAACGCTTCCAATCTGGATTTTCATATTCTGAAAAAAAAAGAAAGGAAAAAAAACTGCACTTGCATGCATTGTTAAGGCACCGTGCAGCATTTGTGTACTTTTGTGCTGTAGGCGTTCGAAATCTGAATTAAAAACATTGCACATATAAGAACACACGGGCACACGTAGTTTTAGTCACACCCATGTGCACAGCCTTATGCTCATATGAGCAGGGCACGCATGAGCGCACATTGCTGGGCTGAAGACAGTCGAGCAGCGAGTGGAGAATGTGGATTGACTACAGGGTCTATTTTCAGCGGCTGCGATCAGGTTGATTTACTAAGATGCAGTTTTCCGATACAGAAGGTACAGACTGCAGCCGCTACAGTAACTCGCTCGGCAGAGGAAAACAAAGCTCGGAGAGAGAGGAAGGAGGAGAGAGAGGGAGAGAGAGGGAGTTTTAGTCTCTGATGATAAGAGAGCGAGTGTTTGCTCTCAGAACGCTCCATAAAGAGCGCTGATGTGAAATCAATGGGCGGGTCATCGGGTTTCGCCGTGTCCAGTCCTCCCTTCCTGGCGGAATTTAATAATGCCCTTAAAGATGGTGTTTAAACCTCAGGGATGGATTGTTTTGTCAATAAGGCGGCTTTTATGAAAGTCTTAAAAGCATGGAGAGAAGTGTGGCGGGGCTACTTTAGAGAAACAGCGTCCACACAAGCCCCGGATCAGGTTTCTCCGCCTGAGAGAGAGAAAGAGGGAGGGAGAGAGAGAGAGAGAAAGAGAGAGAGAGAGAGAGAGAGAGAGAGAGAGAGAGAGAAGGGAAAGGGATTGGGTGTAAAGAAAGAGAAAGAGAGAGAGAAGGGAGAAAGAGAGAGAGGGAGAGAGAGAGAGAGAGAGAGAGAGAGAGAGAGAAGGAAAAAAGAGTGAGCGAGAGAGAGGAAAGGGAGTGAGGAGTCTAAGAAAAGAATGAGAGAGAAAGGGAGGGAGAGAAAAGATAGAGAGAAAAGAAAGTGGGGGATATAAGGAAAGAGGGATAATGGGAAGGGGAAAATAGGGAGAGAAGGGAAAAAAGGTGAGAGAAAAGGAAGGAGAGAGAGAAGACAAAGACAAAGGGATAAGAGAAACAGAAGGAGAGATGGGAAAAAGGGGGCAAAGATTAAGGAAAGAGAGAGACGTGTGAGAGAACAAGAGAGAGAAAAGGAAGGGAGCGAGAAGGGGAAGAAAAAAAAGAGGGAGAGAGAGAGAGAGAAAGAAAGAGAGAGAGAGAGAGAGAGAGAGAGAGAGAGAGAGAGGAAGTGAACATGACCCACCACCAAACCACAACACATAAACACACTTACTCGGTAATTAACTTTTTTATTTTTTTTTAATTGTTATATATATCAGTGAGGTCCAAAAGAGACCACAGTGGAAATGTGGGATTTTTTTTTATTTAAACCAGGAAATAAACAACAGAACAATTTAGAATGTTTACTTTAAGAAGTAAAATGAAGTAGCAAAATTAAAGATTCTGCACTGTTTCTAAGTGACTGTTCAGATTTCAGCAGATTTGTGACACTGACCATGTTAAGGCCTTAATCCCTTCCACTGAAGCTTGAGTCATTAAAGCAAAAAGGGGGGACATACTGTACTAAGAAATTCTAACATTCATGTAAATATTTCAAAGATTCTACTTTTGACCCAATGTATTATGCTGAGAATAGAATTTGTAATGAAAAACTTTGTATTCAATTAGAAACCATTAAAAAAAAGCATTTTCACTCATGGTCTAGTGGACTTTGGTACCCCACCGTATATATGTCATATATATGTATATATATTCCTTGTCTATTACAAAGAAAGAGCGAGAGTGAGCGAGAGCGAGCGAGAGAGAACTGGATGACTGGCATGCTTCATCTCCTTGACAGCCAGGCCCGCCCATGCTAAAAGCAGTTGAAACTTGTTCCAAGTAAGCTATGGCTGATTGCTCCATGCTCAGAGTGTGTATTCTTTGGCAGGCTTAGAGGGAGAACGTGACCCCTGACCCAGTGGGTATCTCAAAGAGGTGATACACCACTTTATGGCTGCAGCTAGAGAGAGAGAGGGAGAATGTGTGTGTAGGTTTTGCTGTAGCAGTGGTTTCAAACGCTAGTTGTGCATATTTTACTGTTTGCTCTGCTCTAACACGCCCATGTCAATGCAGGAAAGACTTGTTAATGACAGCAAGGGGAACAAATATTCAGTTACTTTTTGTTATTTAATATACTTCTAGTATAATTCTTCAAATTCACACACAATGTCTTTTGATGTTGTACTTATAAATATGAACAAAAAAGTGTGTAACAAAAATGTTTAAAAAGTGAGATTAGTAGGAAAAAAAGATTTCATACACCACAAATGAATGACATTAGGACTGTTGCAAAACAGTTGTTGAGAATTACAATTTTTAGGTATCTGTAGTAAGAAGCAGTTAGCCTTTTGCAGCATTGTGGTTCAATCAATTTTGTC